TCAAATCGAATGCCTCTTGTGCGGAAGGGTGTGCTGCTAGGCTTTGAAAATTGACTAAATTAGCTTTTTTCGCTATGCGTAATTTTTCAATAAGGCCATTTTCGCCATGAGAAAACGTAGATTCTAAAATAAAAAAGGCTTAGGTTCTAGTTGTGTGGAAAACTTCAGGTAAACCTCTTTAACATGAAATAATCAAATCGAATGCCTCTTGTGCGGAAGGGTGTGCTGCTAGGCTTTGAAAATTGACTAAATTAGCTTTTTTCGCTATACGTAATTTTTCAAAATAAGGCCATTTTCGCCATGAGAAAAACGTAGATTCTAAAATAAAAAAGGCTTAGGTTCTAGTTGTGTGGCAAACTTCAGGTAAACCTTTTAACATGAAATAATCAAATCGAATGCCTCTTGTGCGGAAGGGTGTGCTGCTAGGCTTTGAAAATTGACTAAATTAGCTTTTTTCGCTATATAATTTTTCAAATAAGGCCATTTTCGCCATAGAATAACAGATTCTAAAATAAAAAAAGGCTTAGGTTCTAGTTGTGTGAAACTTCAGGTAAACCTCTTTAACATGAAATAATCAAATCGAATGCCTCTTGTGCGGAAGGGTGTGCTGCTAGGCTTTGAAAATTGACTAAATTAGCTTTTTTCGCTATACGTAATTTTTCCAAATAAGGCCATTTTCGCTATGAGAATACCCCAGATTCTAAAATAAAAAAGGCTTAGGTTCTAGTTGTGTGAAAAACTTCAGGTAATCTTTTAATGAAATAATCAAATCGAATGCCTCTTGTGCGGAAGGGTGTGCTGCTGGCTTTGAAAATTGACTAAATTATCTTTTTCGATACGTATTTTTTCAAAAAGGCCATTTCGCTATGAGAATACCCTTGATTTAAAATAAAAAGGCTTAGGTTCTAGTTGAGTGAAAAACTTCAGGTAAACCTCTTTAATAACAAATAATGAAATCGAATGTCTTGTGCAGAAGGGTGTGTTGCTGGACTTTGAAAATTGACTAGATTCAACTTTTTTCGTTATACGTAGTTTTCCCAAATGAGGTCATTTTCGCTATGAGAAAAACGTAGATTCCAAAATAAAAAAAAAGACTTAGGTTCTAGTTGTGGGAAAAAATTAACCTCTTTATTAATAAATAATGAAATCGAATGCCTCTCCCGCGGAAGGGATTTTTGCTTGGATTTGAAATTATCTGGCTTATTTGCTTTTTCGAAGGAAGTTAAATAAAATTCGTTCCCCCTTTTTTTTGTTTTTTCATTCCTTTTCAAGCTTTTATTATTTATTTTTTGCTATATAATTGTTATTTTTCCTAAATTATAAACATATTTCCCATAATAGTATGTTAATTTCGTTTATCTTCATTTTTTCGGGTGTAGATTCTGACACGCCTCCATTTCTGCCATAAATATTAACCTTTCCGCTTCGCCGCACACAAAGGTCAAATTGCTACTAGCTTCACAGTGGTGTGTGAATGCCTCTGGTCTTCAGGGATGTTTGTCTGTGCTGTGTGACTGTCGGATGTTTTGTGCTGGACAGTGGGCTGACGTAGGGACCATGTTATTGTTTTTACCGGTACAGTGCCATTACAGTTCATTTACCGTAGTGTTGTACTTGTATTTTTAGTTTTATCGTGGAATTAGCTTTCATCAGTATTGTTCAAATGTTGTGCACCTATAGAATTGTTCATAGTCTTTTTAAATGCCTGTCATAAGTTACTTTCGGCCTGTTTTGCAAATTGCAGTAGCTAGTTCATTGTACCAGATTCTAGGGGTCATTTGGTTTTTTATTCAGAGTTGTCTTGGAGTTCAGGGTTGGTCAGTGTTTTTGTTGTGTATGTGGTCTTTCTTGCATTTTACTGCCTGGTATCTGTTATTTTTATTTTATGCTTTTCGTTCCTTTGGGGAGTGTTTGGTTGTTTTGGATCGTTTACTGTTGGAGTTGTTAATAAATGACATAAAATAGCATAAAGACTTGGACTATTGAGAGAAAACTTGACGTCAGATCATATTAGAAGATATTCTGAACCTGGATAATTATTTCATATATTGCCGGTACGCTACAATTTTTGGCGAGCACGCCAGGATATTTTCTATGAACTATGATTTTTTTTTCTCCTACTTGGACTAATGGATGATATGTCAAGGCTCTGGTCAATAACGTGCCTGTTTTGTTTTTGATTGATACCGGTGCGGGTGTCTGGCTCATTGACACCGCTGTTTACTTGACGTTGCAGGAAGATTCGAACATTTCGGGGCTGCATCCTGTTCCAGCGCCACTCCGTACTGCCGGTTGCGAGTCATGTGTGTCTCATGGTGTACTTGATGTCAACCTGACGATTGAAAGCTGGTCTGTGGAGCATACAGTTGTGGTCGCCGATCCAGGGTCACGTGCGGGTGTCTCGCTCATAGACACCGCTGTTTACTTGACGTTGCGGGAAATTCGGTTCGGGTGTCTCGCTCATAGACACCGCTGTTTACTCGACGTTGCAGGAAATTCGGACATTTCAGAACTGTATTCTTTTCCAGTACCATTGCGTACTGCCAGTGGCGAGTCGTTAGTGTCTCATGGTGCACTTGATGTCAACCTGACGATTGAAAGCTGGCCTGTGGAGCATACCGTTGCCGTCGCCGATCTAGGGTCACGTTGGACTATCTTGGCAAATTCGTCGCATCGTTTTGTTCTTGAGGGACAGGATGTTAAGGTACAGCACCAAACAGCTTCTCCCTGCTGTCATGGGACTATAGTTGAGGATGTGGTTATACCGGCCGCTCGGGACTGGGTGTACTAGTTCAGCTACAGCAGCCTTGGCCGTCCGGAGATCTAACATAGTAGCCGGTCTTGAGCCAGTGGAGATATGCAGCATCAATTTGGTCGCTTCGATGACGTTTGTGGACTCAATCCAGAATGACAAACTTTACGGATGTGTAAGCGTGAGCATGGACACTCTGTGTATTTTAAGGACATTCGTGGACATATTTTGTTTTGACTACTGTTTTTTTGTGGTTCGGATCTTTTTCTAGAGATGAAAACATTCTTTCATAATGTTCCATCTAGAAGAGGGGGGTAATGTGACGACCCTTGTTTTGCCTGTTAAATGACGTCATGTGATATCGTTTCCATATTTGGTATTCTAGCAGTTTAGACGCTGCGACACGATCGATCGGTTCTCGGGGGGCAGCGTGGTCTGTTGGTGTATGGTGTGCGACAGAGGGCAGTCGTCTGAGTGTTTCGGTTAGATTGGTGGGTTTTGAATGTCTGTGTGAATGCCTCTGGTCTTCAGGGATGTTTGTCTGTGCTGTGTGACTGTCGGATGTTTTGTGCTGGACAGTAGGCTGACGTAGGGACCATGTTATTGTTTTTACCGGTACAGTGCCATTACAGTTCATTTACCGTAGTGTTGTATTTTTAGTTTTATCGTGGAATTAGCTTTCATCAGTATTGTTCAAATGTTGTGCACCTATAGAATTGTTCATAGTCTTTTTAAATGCCTGTCATAAGTTACTTTCGGTCTGTTTTGCAAATTGCAGTAGCTAGTTCATTGTACCAGATTCTAGGGGTCATTTGGTTTTTTATTCAGAGTTGTCTTGGAGTTCAGGGTTGGTCAGTGTTTTTGTTGTGTATGTGGTCTTTCTTGCATTTTACTGCCTGGTATCTGTTATTTTTATTTTATGCTTTTCGTTCCTTTGGGGAGTGTTTGGTTGTTTTGGATCGTTTACTGTTGGAGTTGTTAATAAATGACATAAAATAGCATAAAGACTTGGACTATTGAGAGAAAACTTGACGTCAGATCATATTAGAAGATATTCTGAACCTGGATAATTATTTCATATATTGCCGGTACGCTACAATGTCATGGCTAATTATTACTGCCCAAATGCTTCAAAGTTTAACGATTGTAATCATTTTCGAAGATAATAGACGCAACAAGTCGAACGAGTCAGTGTGCATTGTTACAACAAAATTCACGATTGATTTTACGTTCTACTCTTGGCTCAACGGTCAGCTCTTGGTCATTTTTAAATCCATGCTATTTATATAACTAGATTTTTCCAACGACCTAAAATCGCCTTTTTCACAATGAAACGCCGAAAAGTCATTTTAACATTTAATTCTAATCAACTTTATGTTCGGTAATGCAAGAAATGGCTAATGACATGTCACCAAGCATGCGGTGTTTAAAATCTGGGAAATATATTTTAAATACCACATCTGGTTTGACGTTTCTAAATTTATGGAACGATTAGTACGTTTTTTTGCAAGATAGGGAATTGAAAAGATACGTTAAGTGCAAAGATAAGCATATAACACCATAACACAAAGATAACGACTTTTCAAAATTGTCTTTTTTTTGATAGCGAGCGCCGATGGGAGATCTCGCACAATTCACGATTGAGTTGAAGACGCGAGAGTTCGGTGTCGAAGCAGAGCGGCGCAGGTCACGTAGAACCGGATATTCGAATAGTGCAATGTCATTCGAATATTTTGCCCATCCCTAGTTGTTACGTTTGTTGTTTTTACGATGACTTGGTATTTTAAAAACGCGCTTAAGGTTTGTTACTATTTTACCTTACGTTATTTGTGTGCGGCTCTTCATAACTTTGAGGTTTGAAATGTTTCAAATATCTTGCTTCGAATTTAAGCGTTTTCGGTTAGCGGTCGTAATACATGGATTCAAAAATTGAAAGCAATCTCATCGATGCTCATTTAGGCTACATTGGAATAACACAATTGTACCCTATCCTGGAATCGCATTCTGATCTAAGAAATCTTTCATTCATTCAATAGTAGATAGTATTTATAAAGCTTTGTTTTGCTCGTGTCCATCTGAAATTTTGTATTATTTATTGTAATTCATCAATTTTTGAGTTGAATATTCAATGGTAAAAAAATTCACGCATTCTCACACCTCCTTTTGATTACAGAACAGCAGGAAGGTAAAATAAAAATTGCATCAGTGCAACATTCATATACAGATTGGTAAACTTAGAAGCCACCAAATGGCAGAGGCTCGAGAAAAAACATCTAAATGTGAGATATGTGGCAAAGGATTTACTCACAAAAGGCAGCTCAAAAATCATTTTAAATCACACTTCCCTGATGAGCCAGAAAATCAAAAACAGAAGTGTGAAATTTGTGGAAAGATGCTCAGCAGTGTGCAAAGAAAAACTGTACATATGAAACAACTTACGGGAGAAAGACCATACAAATGTGATGTATGTGGAAAAAGCTATTGTGATAAAGGTGCCTTGAAAAAGCACATTATTCGACATTCTAAAAAATTCAAGTGTGAAATATGTGACAGACCATTTGGATGTCGTTCTGCATTAACAGATCACATGTCCACTCATACCAACGAAAAATATTTCGAATGCACTATTTGTCAAGTGTTATTTTCTAGGAAAAACAATTTATATCGGCATATGAGGAGACATACAAATGATGCCCAATTGAGATGTGAAATATGCGGTGTCACCAAATTGGAACAATCTGATTTGAATATTCATATGCGTACCCATACAGGTCAAAAACCATATATATGTGAAGTATGTGGAAAAGCATTCAGCCAACACGGTAATCGAGATATTCATTTGTAAACAGTACATTCGAACAAAAAGCCCTATTCATGTGAGATTTGCGGAAAGAGGTTTTCCATACAAGAATATGTCAAAAGACACATGAAACGGATTTATTTGAAAAGTATCTCAAATATGGACAAAACTGAGCAGGAAAAAACTGATTACGTGCCTTCAGAAAACAACGTTACCTCTTCTCAATTAAATAAATAAAAAAAGAAAACGAAGAGATATCGCAAGATAAGGGTATATCCTGACTAAAAGTAGATTTACCCCAAAATCAGATCTTGAGAGGACAAGGTGATAGGAAGAAGCTGGCTTTATCAAGTATGTCCCACAGGCACCAAGGATGGTGTGTGAACAACTATGGGCATTCTAAACTTTTGTCGCACTGGTTCATTTGAAAGCAGTAGTGATTGATCATTGAAGCATACTTGTTACATGTTATGATGATCGCAAAACCGCAGTCGGATGGTTGTTTTCAGAAGATCATTCAGGATTTGTAAGAAAGAAGTTGTTTATGATGGAGCGTAATCAATCGTGGATAATCAACAAAGACACTCCTGTCGGTTCGTATAACCACGCCAATGTCGTTTATAATTATTGTATGCCTTTCTGCTTAGTATTCATATTGCAAAGATATAATTGACTCCTTGTTTATTTATTTTATCACTGGTTTATCGCGTCTATCTTCACACTGAAACGTATTTTTTTTATATATTTCGTAATTATATTTGTCCATTGTGTACTTTCGGTACATGATAAAATAAATTACTGACTGACTTTTACTGAGTTTATTTTGGTCTGGCGAGTGTGCCGTCTTGTACAATGTGCTGAAACGTGAATTTCCTTGTACCTAATGGTGTCCGATGCAGCAGATAAATTACCTGAGACTTGAAATGCTACCGAAAATACTTCGTTTCAATGCTTTATTTGATGGGTCGTGTAATGTTAATCGTCGCCAAATTTATTTGTGGTGCATCGTACAGGAAGTGTTAAACCAACTATAGTCAAAACATAACAGACAGGAGAGCAAAGCTCAAATATATGCACACATAGGTCAAAACAAAGTAGTACGGGTAATCAATGTACGGCAGTATTCACGACTTCGACTGACCACCAGGGTTGTCCAAAACGAATCGAATATTCGAAATTATTCGAATATCAAAGTATTCGAATACCTTTTCGGCTCATTTCCGAATAATTACGAATAGTAGTCACTTTTCGCCGTAAACACGGTGTTTCGATTTACCGGAATCTTCAAACGACTTTTTACGCTTTCTCACGTATAGAGCTCGACCGATATCACTTTTTGGCACCGATAACGATATATCGGCCAACTAGTGACCGATAACCGATATCGACATACCGATATCTACAGCCTGAACTCGCAGTAAATACAAATAGAAAGTGAATAGTGAATTAATAAATTAGGTAAAGTCGTAATTATTGGTCGAGCACTTTCGCGTTTGAAACGTGCTCCTTCAAAGCAGTCAATTCCGTCGATTGTAAAAAATGAAAGTTTAACAAGTAGAAGAAGTTAGAGTTCCGGTATTCGCAGCCGTTGGTGGGGAAGGCATGACGCGTTGCCACCCCGTTTGAGCGTTTGGTTTCACGGTCAAAACGATATTATTATGAGCGTTATCACCGTAACGCAATTAACACCGATAGACTTTTTTGTCTGCACGATTTGGTATCTTTTTTATTCGGCGCTGATAATGACAAATAAGAATGCGTGATAGTTGATTGTAATTCCGGAAGGCGTGTTTTTCTTTCTCTCGGTGAAACTGACATGAAACGAATTTTACCGCCACCATGGACGCTCAAAAGGAGAGAAGGCTACTTTCTTTTCCCGACAGCGCATTAAAAAACAAATTAGAATTTATTATCATTAATTTACAACGAGTTACGGGTAAGTATTTACCGCCGGCTAAATAATTAATATTTGATATAAATTTATCGCAAATAATGTTATAACATTTAGGCCGCGAAATGATTTGATATAAAATGAAGCTTGGTAATCGGAATATCGTCAATAATTCAGCATCAATAATTATTATAAAATGCTAACTAGGTAGTAAAGTCGGATAATGTAAAAAACGGAGCAATAACGGGTCTTCGTCGCGAGGCAAGCGCAGGTGTAATCAAACGAGAGAATACGCTTGTCCTTGAATAATAACTTAGAAACCCGAAATTTTCATTCAATACGAAAGTCGATTTAAAAAAAGGCAACTATCGTTTCATAAATATCCGTATACCAGTGTCGGTAATGATAAAATTGATCGCATAAAATTGGAACGGTTAATTCGCGAAGGTGATAAAGGAAAATCAAAGCCAACACAAAGGATAAAAATCAGAATAAATTCAATTTGAATTCACTCCTTGGTATTTGTCTTTAACATCTGTCGCGTATAGTACTGGCGGTAATATGAAAACCAAACTTCGATGTCCCATTCGGAAAAGAAGTGGATTCAAATGGTTTTTATGATAGGTTTAAATGTGTGAAAAAATATCGCAATTATGGGGTCATTACGTAATCAATTTTGCCGTAATTACGGAATTGATTTTTGTCGATTACGTGCAAGCCTAGTGGGGAAGCAAGATATTCGAAGGCGAGGATTTTGCGCCGCACGAAGAGATAGGAGAGAGAGAGAAATATAGAAGAGAACTCTCTGTTTATTAAAAGGCAAAATGAGAGAAGCGAAAAGAAGGAAACGCTCGGCCGCAGATATTTCCCGGGGAAAAATACTCATTTTTTAGGTGGAAAAGCGACTAACGTTGATATATATCGGCCAGATATATCGGCCGGTTGGGCCGATATGATATATCGGCAAACACGCAATATCGGCCCGATATATCGGTTGGCCGATATATCGGTCGAGCTCTAGTCACGTATTGTAATGATGATGAAATAGAGTCGGCATTTTGATTGTTTATATTCAGCGCGAATGTACGTCGCATAGTGTTGCGACACATTTGCACGTTTGCGTTGGTGGACATTGCCGACATTCGTCTTTTAATTCACAAAATCATTTCCATTAGTCGAAAAATCGACAATCCCCGTATTTCCCGGCTAATAAGTCGCTTTTCTAGGCCCAATTTTGGCTTGATTTTTTGGGGGGAGGGGCGCCTTATAGAGAAAGCATGTTTATTTTATTTCTATGTGGCCTGCTTATTTTTCGCATTAGTCTTCTCAAGCATAATTTGTGTTAACCTTATATTTGGTTCTTATGGGTCTGTCAATCATGATATTTACTCGTAGGCCGGTTATCGTTACTTAAAAGAGAAAACACGGCCACCGCCACCGAGATAAAGTAAGTGATTTATGACCCTTTGGTTTTGCCGATTCAGCAGAAAACGACAGGGACATGAAACACAGCTGTGAAATAACCCGTGGACGTACCGTGTGGTACTTATCACATTTCAAAATTATTTCAACATTCGGGTTGATAGGTTGTCCAAAATGATTGCCGCTTTATAATTTAAATTTACCGCTTCGTTGTTGAGAATAGTTAATTCCGTGAGTATGGTTCTACCAAACAAACATGATCTGGTTCTGTTCTGACCCTATAAAATTATAGATTGTTCAAAATGATTGTGATTTTTAACTTAAAATTACCGCTTTATTGTTAAAAATAGTTAATTCTGTGAGTATGATGATCTGGTTCTAAACATTATTATTAGCGCATATAAGCATAACTGAACAACAGGGAACAATTTTTCTACCCGTCTTCTTGGAGGCCTATATGGAAAACCCCCTTTTTTTGAGTGCTAAAAATATACATCGTCCTATTTGCCATGTAGACTTATTAGCCGGGAAATACGGTATCTATAGCCGTAATTGTTACGATATCCAATAAATTGTCACAAGTTGGGAAACAAGTTGATTTATTGGAAAAATACTCTCACCCGCTTTCTGGCAAATAATTTTGATAATAATGGTCAAAAGTATCGATAATGAAAGTATTAATACCAAATACCACGGGTATTTGTGGGCATGAAATGTGTGGTAAACTGCCCAATTATAATTAATTTCGGATTCGTATTTACAAAATATTAAAACTATTATAACTCAAAAATACAACGGCGATTTGTGGACTTGAATGTGTAATAAAGTATAAATTATTTTTCCGACTTGTGACAATTTTTTCGTGAGTACGAAAATAAGAATCAAAAATTAATTATATTCGGGCACAATATCACGGCATTCTGTGGACATAAATTGTGAGGCAAACTCGCGATTGATATTAATTTTTGATTCCTATCTTCGTATTTACAAAATACAACGGTGATCTGTGGACATTGAATGTGTGGTAAACTACCCGATTATAAATAGTTTTTGAACCCTATTTTCGTATTTATAAAACAATAAAAGTATTATTACACAAACATACAACGGCGCTCTGCGGACAAAAATGTGTGGTAAAGTTCCCGAATATAATTTCTTTTTGATTCGTATTTTTGTACTCACGAAAAAATTGTCACAAGTCTGAAAAAGAACTCATACTTTATCCCGCTTTTTGACAAATAATTTGGATAATGGTTGGTATTTAAAAGTATGGGTGTTTTACTAGGATGATTTTGTGTTGCGCACGCATTCAAATCCATCACAGATACCACTATTTAAAATGCCTTGTCGTATTATTTTAATTCTGTTAATTAACACAACTCATGTTATATAAAATATATATCGCAATTAGGCTTGCACGTAATTGACAAAAATCAATTCCGTAATTACGGCAAAATCAATTACGTAATGACCCCGTAATTGGGATATTTTTCCACGAATTTAAACCTATCATAACAACCAATTAAATCCACTTCTTTTCCGAATGGGACATTGAAGTTGGGTTTTCATATTCTTGGCAGTACTACACGCCGTCGGCAGATGTTAAAGACAACTATCAAGGAGTAAATTCAAATTAATTTTATTCTGATTTTTATATTTTGTGTTGGCTTTGGTTTTCATTTATCACCTTCGCAAATTAACCGTCCGATTTTTATGCGATCAATTTTATTTTATCAATACCGACACTGGTATACGGATATTTATGGAAACGATAGTTTTTTAAATCCACCTTAGTGCTGAATAAAAATTACGGGTTTCTAATTTATTAACTAACGACGAGCGTATTCTCTCGTTTGATTATACTTGCGACTTCCTCGCGACGAAGACTTGTTTTTGCAGCGTCTTCTGCATTATCCGACATTACTGCCTTGTTAGCATTTTATAATAATAATTATTGATGTCGACTTATTGACGATATTCCGATTACCATGCTTCATTTTATATTTAATCATTTCGCGGACTGAATGTTTATAACATTATTTGCGATAAATTTAGATCAAATATTATTTATTTGAGTATAATTTAAATATGGAACTTATATGATATGCCTTCTCCGAAAATACAAAGTTATATCGCAAAACAATGCATTTTGTGACATTTATTTTACACTCACGACAATTATTTGCTAACTCAAGTCGGCGATCCTATCGGCCAAGATTGACACAAGTTTGGTCGAGTGGCGGTGGTATTCAAGTCGACGATAAATCAAAATAAGTTGCCGCATTTGGTAAGACAGTTAATCATATACGGCCGAAATATTGAGAGGAATTGCGAAAAACATCATGAGCAGGGCCAAGTCCGGACTGATATATAACGATAAAACCGTTAACAGAAAACATAAGATTTTGTAAGAGAAAATGGATCTCGCACAGAATAAACACACTGGCTCATATTTGATTATATATGATAGCAGTTAAATTTTTAGCGGTCCGCGAGGAATCCGTCGTTTTGCTGTTTCTCTGCCGTCTCAATCGCTTTACCGATGCCGAGGAGACGAAGTTGCGTTGGTTCATTACGCAATCTCTCTTTTGTCGTCATATTGCTATTTGATAAGCGCGACATTAATTATCACGGCGAGGTATTGGTGCGAGTGATCAATCGCTCTTTTCGCGTATTTGGTTCCAATTCGTCGCGAAAGCTCTTCGTTAAATTTCACAAGATCGTCGTGTTGAAAGGTTATGGACATTTTCCTGTTTATACCCCAAGTCTGAAATAAAACAGCCAAAAACAGTATGATATTCCATGTTCATATATTAAGTGTTGATATTAACAATAACGAATGGTTAAGCATTGCTAATCCACACTTGGTGGGGAACTCCCACTATTTAAACGCGTGACTATAAAATAGAAACGGAACATATATATTATATACCACAAGTATCGGAAAACTGGAACAAGTAAATAATAAATAAAAGTAAAATGAATACAAATGTTTGATAGACCATGTTTGAAAGATTGATCTCCTGTGTTCCTTAGTCATTTCACCCGAAGAAGTTGAAACCGTGCGTGTTAGCGTCCATCGGTCTTAACACAATTCTTCCCCCTATCTACGGTTATTATGTACATTGGCCATGGTCATGCTAGATAAGAAGCGAGAGAAGTTGAAACCAGGTGTGTTGGCATCAATCGGTCTCAACGCAATTCTATCCCTTATCTACGGTTAAGTTACGGGAGAAGTTAAAACCAGGTGTGTTGGCGTCAAACGGCCCTACTCAGTTCTTCCCCCTTAACTACGTTAATAATTTACATTGGCCATGCCAGAGAAGTTGATAATAGGTTAGTAAATGGCAACGCGTCATGCCTTCCTTCACCTACGTAACAAGAGAGAGAAAAACGGCTGCGAATACCGGAACTCTCTTCTACTTGTTGAGCTTCCATTTTTCGCAATCGACGAAATTGACTGCTTTGAAGAAAGCTCGTTTCAATGCAGTAATTACGACTTTACGTAATTCGTAACTTCCCTTCCGTAACTCCAAATAATTACGTAATTCCGTAAATCCGTAAATTACGTGCAAGCCTAATCGCAATAATCTGCAAACATGAAATGCCTGGTAATATAGTCAGGTTGTAGATAGAAGTTATTCCATTGTTTATTGTATGAAAATTCCTTCATACACTTAGATTCTATTACTGGATTTTATTTTCGAAGTATTCGAAATTTCATATTCGAAAATAATAATTTCGAATGTATTCGAAATAGTGAACTATTCGGTATTGGCCATCCCTGCTGACCACCAGATATCAACTTACGCGAAAAAGGAACCGCCACAAGTTGCGTAATATTAATGTAAATACCGTTATCGCACACAAAAAACAAATCTCATAGAGATCTCATTCATTTTTGAAATAATGTTGGCTTTTAGCAAAAATACGATCTTTCACCACTGAAAATTTCAAAGCAATCAGTCCAATATTTAATGAGAAAGCGATGTTTCACTAGAAAAAAAAAATAATAATATCAACAACAACATAATACCAGAACGATGCATACACAATACAAAATAAACAGAGAACTTGGTGAACCACCATATCATAATTAAAGAATGCTGTTCAATACCTTTTGTATGCTTTGCACTGGTTCATCCGTTTTTTTCATAGCCGGTAAAATTGAGGCTGTGGCTTCTACGTGACGCGACATGAAAGTGTTTTTACCACTCCTCCCCTTTCCATATAAATATTGGTTAATCTTCAAATTCAGGGTATATCTGGTACGTATCATTGGTACTGGCCTTGTTCAAAGTCTGTGGTGTTACTACTGCATTTATTATTAATCAATCCCAAAAATAAAACCAATTAAATATGCCTTAACGCAATGGCAATGTAATTTTTTCCCGTTCCCTATTGATCGATAATCCGAAAAATAGGAAGCGCGTCAAATGATCAGTCCAATCGATAAAACAAACCGAAATAATGCTTGAGGACTTCAAAACCACTGAAGCGTGTAATATTATCAAGGATCAGCGCTGTGCCGTGTAAATTGTCCAGTTCAGATCGTTGACAAAGCGTTTCTCAGTGCTGCGATCAGGTGATAGGTTAGAATTAGATATGTACCCCCAACGACAGTGAATCAAAAAGACGGCGTGTATGGCGAGTTGTTTTGATACCAGCGCTGTCCATAACAAAACATACGTAGTCGGTAAGGAGCAAATAGGATAGTCTATCTGAAGTTTCGAATATCTTTGAATTCCACGCATTTGCTATAGTACGTCAAAAATTTAAATCCGCGGAAGAAAATACTTTGGAACGAGTCATCTTATATCTCGATTATCCACAAACTGGGTAATCTTCAGAATTTTAGTGAACGTTTTTTAATCATTATCGCAGCATACCAATTACGCGTGAATGCTGACGAGACGCGCAGCGCTCGAAATGAACCAGACAATTTTGCCTGGATAGCGAGAGATTTCTTTGCCTCAAGTATCATCGTAGGCCCTGTGCACCTACCGGCTTGTTATTATTTGTTAAACAGGAAAGTGCGTTTTCAATACCAAACAAGGTTCTATTACATTGATTCCGATACTGACTGAGAGATTGTGATTTCTGGCGGACAATTGCCACCATGCAGCTTAAATAATGCTTGAAATAGAACGATCTATGGGAAGTTTCTAATTATAGAAGACCTTTTATAGTAAACTCAAACCTAATTCTTACCCCACTTTTATTTATAAATATCTTAGAGAATTAAGGAGACTTTATTTGGTATATTTATATACATTGTAGCCAGCTTGTTTTAATTCGATGTTTTGATGAAATACTTCCAGATACCAGTAACTAAAATGAATAAAAATAAACAAGGTGAGTTGCACAAATGTGGTGATTGCGATAAAAGTTTTCGTTTAGTTAGTCAACTCAGAAAACACCAAAACACACACACTGAAGAACGACCACATAAGTGTGAAATATGTAGCAAGGTGTTTACTATGAATGGTAATTTGAGACGCCATTTGCGATTGCATATTCCTGATGAGCAGAGTAAGTTGCACGAATGCGATATTTGTGGTAAACGATTTCGTCGGAGTGGTCAACTCAAAGACCATCAAGTGACACACAGTGGAGAACGACCACATAAGTGTGAAATTTGTGGCAAGGGATATACACAGAACAGTCATTTGACAAACCATTTACGATTGCACTTTCCGGATAACCCACAAAATAAACAGAAATGTGAAATTTGCGGGAAAGTACTCAGCGATGTGTGGAATAAAACTATTCATATGAGACAACATACAGGAGAAACACCATATAAATGCGAAGAATGTGGAAAGGGCTTTTGCCACAGTAGTAAATTGAGAAAACATATGATTCGACATATGAAGACATTTGTGTGTGAAATTTGTGGACGGTCTTTCGTTTGTAAGTCACACCTTTCTGACCATATTCTCACTCATACAAAGGAAAAACGATTTAAATGTACCATTTGCGATAAGTTTTTTGCACGCAAAAGTAATTTAAAGTTGCATATGAGAAGACATACTGATGAATATCAATTCAAATGTGAAATATGTGGTATCATCAAGGTGCAACAATGCGAACTGAATATTCATATGCGTACACACACAGGAGAAAAACCGTTTAACTGTAAATTGTGTGGGAGATCATTTAGTCAACAAAGCAGTCTGAACACTCATTTGCAATCGGTACATTCCAAGAAAAAGTCTTATGAATGTGAGATATGTGGGAAGAGATTCGCCGTACAAACATATGTCAACGTTCATATAGAGGAAACTCATTTGAAATGCAAAAATATATCAAATACAGACAAAGTTGGACAGGAACCAACTAATCACGTGTATTCGGAATGCTCCGTTATTCCTAATAAGTTTGATCAAAACGAAAAGATAATACAGAATGAATTACAAACGCCCCAAGTAATTGATATCAAAGAAGAGTTTCATTCGGGATCTTATCACGAATAACTTCCCGTGATAGGACTTCCCTCGGGAACAGTAATTTTTGACACACAACTGGGGTACCGGTATTTGAAGTAGAGCCTGGGTCGACTAATAAAATTTGAAATTTTTTCTTGGTTGGAGTTGATAGTCGTTTTCCACCACGAATCCTACTTTTGGAACATTCAACAGCACGATTTTAACTCAACCAACCTAGACGGCAAAAATTTTTTTTTTCTGTGTATATAAAATATTTTTTCATTATTGATTAGAAATGAATCTTAAATTGAAACGAATAATAAATGATGTGTTTATGAATATTGTCAATAACAGTCGGAGTGATAAACATGAATTTTGTGAGAACTATAATTTGTAATGTGGCTGTTAATCGGAGATGAATACCGGTATGAAAATTGTGTTTTAACGTTATACTTTGCGTTAGTTCATCATTCTTTACAATCAGGGGAAAAAATTTGATCACATTAAACTTATTCCTAAACAAACGCTCAACACAACGGAGACTGTAAATTTAGATGTTTGTTAAAATATTTGTATCTGACGTGCCGAGATAAATGAAGGGGAATTCCCAGCTAGGGTTGTCCGTATCCGAATACCAAACCATCCTAGAATAACACTAAAAAACATTTCGAAATCGTTTGAGCCAAATTAACAGAACCAAAACAAAAAAATTATTTTTTTAAATCAAATAAACAAACGTTTGCTATTGTAATAACAAAGTTGCTGGATTGAAGCCAATCAAGATACTTTCCAAATAATTTATAGAGGTCATGAAACAGAAATTGCAATCCTTTGAAATGGCACACTTGACACTTCAACCAGCGTTTTCTTGTGACAAATCAGGGTAGCAATGTAGAAAGTTCAACGTTTCTACATGCTGTCTAGTTAAAACTGGAATGGGATCAAGATGACAGATGTTGCAACTTGCAAGCATTGCAATATTGGAAGAGCCATCGCGTTCCCAATCAGTCTAGCTTCATAAAAGATGAACTTGGAACGTTATTGAAATTGATAAGAAATGCCTAAATCCTCAGCGTTCACAAAGAGTCAGCGCCATAGAAGATAAATTTAGAACCTCAACTTCCATGAAGAGAAGAGCCTCTGCCGATATGAAGGTTTGCGCCAGCGTCTTTATCTCAAGCAATAATATTTGCTTTGAAATAGATTATGTGTTTCTTGTTGTTAGCTTATCTCTAATTCCACTTCCACAGATAAGAAAGCTTTTCATCCAGTTGAATATTCATAAATATATAAATTGGCCAGGCTCTTTTTAATTCCATTTCCACAGATAAGAAAGCTTTTCATCCAGTTGAATATTCATAAATATATAAATTGGCCAGGCTCTTTTTATCCAGTGCACTGATGCAAGAATTTTAGATATAGTACCAGTAGCTAAAATGTGAAATGGTGAACAATGTAAGTTGCACAAATTCGGCATCTGTGATAAAAGTAGTCACTTGAAAGCACATTTGCGGTTACATTTTAACAATAATCCACAACATCAAGGTAAATGCGAAGAATGTGGAAAAGCCGTTTCTGATGAATGAAAGTGCTTTGAGAAGGCATAATGATCTCCATGCAAAAGAGTTTGTGTGTGAAATATGTTGACAACCATTTGGATGCAAGTCTCACTTTACTGACTGACCATATACTTACACATACAAAATAGAAAACATTTATTAAAACGCTATATTATATTTTTTTATCTACTAAGTAAGGTTGGGTATAACTTTTGTGCAATTTTTTACATATTCAATAAAGCAACTGATTGGACAATGAAACAAAACATGTAGCTGAAAATGTGAAAATATATTGAATCTAACAACATGCAAAATTTCTGGAATTGTCCCGTAGTGTCACTTGGAATAGCCCATATATCCTAATGCTAACTGGACAAAATTGATTAGACCTCCACAAGGGCAATACAAATTTCTCGCGTTCCATATTAGCCGATATCCGAAGAATACGAAACGCGTCACGTCATCCGTCTGATCGATAAGATAAAACAAACCGAAATGTCGAGGGCGAGGAAACCACTGAAGCGTGTAGGTGTCGTCGCAATATCGAGGATTCCAGTTTTGTAGCTGAATGAAGTGAAATGTATCTAATTGCGTTTCAACACCACTGTGAAGCTAGTAGAAAACCTTCTAATTGTGCGCAGCGGTGAGTCGAGTCTCGTTTTGTGCTCATTGAAGGGTGATATTACAGTTTTGTGCTTATTGAAGGGTGTAAAACGTAGGCGATTCTAAATTCCACACGGCAGAATTGCTCTCGATTATAGATATGGAAGAAACATCAAGATAAGCGGTAAGTTTAAGTGCAGTTTGGAAACTTAATCGATAGCACAACAGCAGTTTGTTTTACACTAACGTTTTATTTTCTGATTTGTCAAATACGATATCTAACATGTCATATACTCGCCTCAATAAATACGCACAGAGATAGTCTGTGTGCAAGACTTTGAATTAACGAATAATTGGAGTTTACAGGTTCAAAAATGAACCTTTAGTAATGCCAAGCTAATGTAGAAATACGATCGCATTCATTTGCGACGTTGGAAATATTTCAAAGTCAGCCGATTGATTAAATGCACGATGGCCATAACCGTCCACGTGTTTCCTTTTCTGAGTAATCAAGTCTATTTTTTCACCATACTTATGGAAACAAAGATATATAAATTATGAAAATCATGACTGCCCTAACGCACAAAAGGCATGCGATTTATCCATCAAAAAACGAAGTGTGTGAATGAAATCGAACCTAAAACTACTCGAACTTAGAAAAAGGAGTACTCCTCACACTTCTTTTCTCTGAGATTTTGGTGGAAGACCGAACGTACCAAATACTGTTTGAATACACCTCTAATTTTGTATCAATATTATTTCATATATTCACAAGTTACACTATTAATTCCATTATGGTAATCTTAACATAAGATTAACATAACATAACCCACTATAACCAACCAGTAAACTCAAGACTTACAATTATAATTGATTTAAGACATTAGCAGGGCTACATATATCAGAAATTAAATTTAGATCTTAAAATATTTTCCAAACTGAATAGTAAAACATACAATACAACATATAACTTACATCAGTGGAACATGTGGTTATAGGAGTGGTGAATTCAAAGTTTCAAAAAGCTTGATAGTGAAAACTTTTTAACCCAGTCTACAGCAAAGAATAACTATTCAATGTCACCAATTCTATCATAGGACGCTCTCAAACCAACACTTCTCAAACATGGAGGTTGGAACAGAAAGTTTGTTGTTTGGTAAAATATATTTTGAACGTTCCAGAAGATTTACTTTAAGTTATCACGAGTTAAACGTAGAAAATCTTAGTTAGCCATGTTTTTAAAATTTGGGGTAAAGGTATATAATACGTAATTGCCAAATTTTTGGAAATTGGTGATAACATATTCCAAGTTTGTAGCTTAGTTATGTAAAGAGTGAACGGTCCAGTCATTTTCCTATTGTATGAAGCATACTACTGGTGTGTTATAACATGCATGAGTATAGTTCAAACGCAGTGTTTATTTTTCCTCCACGCTCTCCATATCAGATTTAAGCAAAGCCTTGGAATAAGTGATGCGGTAACAAACAAAGTAAATGTAATTTATTACGCAGAGCAAACGAGATGTTGTTTAATCTAATACATTGTCTCAAGGTATGATCATATCAAAAATGCACAAATCGCCGGTATTTCACATTCAAAAACTCTAAACATGTATCATATATCCTATAATGAACTACCTCTAGGGCTGGGCAAAATAGTGGAATAACAAATAGCGAATCGAATATTGGAATATTTTGAGAAATCGCCGTTCTAGCGTCAGGGTGTTATTTGCGTTTTCATTGCGCCTAACGTATGGAGTCGATTCCCTATTTTGCAAAAAGCGCACCGACACTGTTTTCATCCAAGGTCAAAAAAACTATCAAATGTGTAACAAACATTCAGGTTTTTACTCGTTGTCAAATATTCATCATTGTTTTTTATGTTACGATAATAAATGAGTGCTTCGTGAACCAGAACTTGCTTTATATAATTATGTATATGTTGTTCACCAGATTCTACGAGCAGGAAAATATCAGATTCAGGTTCAACAGTCGGATTTATACACTAATGACTTGGGGGTGGAGCGGGTTGTGTTCTCGTTGCACTTGGCCATGTGGTAATTTTCATTTCACAAAACCTTGATTGCAAATATTTATCAAAATTAATTAAAAATGTTGCCTCGTTAACATTCATCTTAATTTGTGAATTAATTGAGGCTAATCGTCTATTAAAACACTTCAAAAATAGAGAATGCCGAAATCCAGATTATGAACATTTTGAATCAGTAAATGAGCGGTTCATCATTTCTCTTAAACTTGTACATATTGACTCCAATGTAGAATTTTCAATAAAATGCCAAATTTCATAATCATGGCTAATTTTTTTTCTTTTACTGCCATCTTCAAATTTTGGTAAATTTGCCAAGAATGGGGATACTAAATTGAATTTTCGTTTGACAATTTTTATTTTAACAGGTGTGTTAGAATACGGTTGCTCCTTGGGAATATAGTATGAAACCTTGGCATAAAATAAAAAACTTTCCCTCATTTTTTTAAATTTATGGATGTAAATTCAGTTTTCCTAAATTCTTTTTTTTTTCTCAAAACGTCAGCTGAAGGGGCATTTGGGATATTCTCTTTCTGTTTGCGAAAGTTTGTCATAAGATTCATTAAATTGAACAGATGGGGGAATAAAACGCATTTTATTTTTTAAAGTTTTTCTGGCCTTCCCGCGAACATAAAGGCTGCGCTTGCACCCAATAAAGTGCTCTCGTTGACCTATTGGTTCAAAATGAGCCTCAAAACATTGCAGAGTTTTATAGAAATCTACCAAAAAGTTAACATCGCAACCACAGCAAGCGCACTAAAATTTTATATACCCCAAATGTGATGAAACAACCTCTGTGGGTTCAGAACTAAATTCAGTTTTATATAAATAATGGTTACGGGCGGAAGGTATGCAACTTTTATAAATTTTCTGTAATTCAGCTAGAATATACTCTCTTATTTGGCGACAACCCCTGGGACTAAAACGATGTTCTGTCCGATCAGCCACAACTTGTTTCTAAATTTACGAAAGTATTTCAGATACACTGTGCAAATTGACCTCTATGAATGTGCTAAAAAGACATTTTAAATTTTTGCTGCTACATGCATTTTTATTATGTTTTCCTGAATGTTCAATGACACGTCTAGAGCTTCAGGTATGATATTAGGATTTTTGCATTCATTCAAAGGAAGGTTTAGGGGTAGGCAATATGTTGCTTTGTTATCGGTTGTTTCCAATATAATATCGACTGGTGGATTACTTTTTAATGTTTTACAAGGTGTTGTCTGTATGTGCTTGTTTTCAACTAATTGTGTGGTTTACTCACATTTAAAAAAATCATGTTCAGATTTATTGTGTCCTTCTTTGCCTCCAGTAATATAACCCCCGGATTCCTTATCATGGAATGCCACCTTCGTTTCAAAACATACAAGTAAAATAT